GGGGCTTTAACGAAGAGGTCTCCTTAATCTAGGAGGATGAAAGGACCCCTCTCGGCCACGACCCCCATTCCAACATGATCGTGAATGCTATTCTCAAGAAACAAGGACATTTTCTTGGGATGACCCTAGGAAAGAAAAAGGGAATAGCAAAACCGCTGGAGTCACCTGGCCTCCCTAAATTAGATACTTTCGGACTTGGTTTCGAACTGACTCGGAAAGATCTTAAGCGAGCCCAGGAAAATCAAAGGCACGTAGGGACGCTCGCGTCCAAAAGAAAGCAATCCCAATGGATCAATACCCTCTCACCCTTAATGGTCAATTTATAAAAGAAGGAGAAGACTATCCATGTCACGAATTTCCCAAGCCATTTGTCGTAAACGGCATAAGGCAATCGGGATTTGAAATTTTCTTGGATTGCTATTTCACAGATGAAATCCCAACTCCTATCCTTAAGGAGAAAACACCCCCATGCTTTGACTTTAACGTCATGGGACTACTATTTGGGCGAGAAAAGGATGAGCCGACATACAAAGAGGATAACTCCTCGCTCACTCAAACGGTCTTACAAAGTAAAAGCTTCGATCCTTCGAATCTAATCACTCCAGCGGAAGGATCACTACAAGGGTGGCGCAAGACCGTCAAGGTGACGACTTCAAGTGGAAGAAAGATCTCCATCACGACAGGGCAAGGACCGATGTTTGAAGAGTCGTCTGAGTCAGAGTCACAGTCAGAGTCTTTCCCTATAGAGTCATCTAGGTCTTTAGTAGTAGCACCTTCCCCTTCTATCTCTTCTCCTGGAATAGTTAGTGATCAAGTCCTTAAGGACATATCACTCTTTGATGTAATGATCTCAGAGTACAATAATATATCTTCTTCTCCTTACTTCTTGTGTTCTTTTCTAACTCAAGATGACGAGCATTGCTTAACTAACAATGAAAAAGACAAAGAACTTATTAAAGAAATGGAAACACTTGAAAAGAAAACACCGGTAATTGAAGAAACTGAGACGGTTGATATCTCAAATGATTTAACCAATAAAAGAGAAGTTAAAATCGGACTAACACTTAATGAACAAGAAAGAACCGATTTAATTAACTTACTCAAAGAATTCATTGATGTATTTTCTTGGTCATACGAAGATATGCCAGACATTAATAGAGAAATAGCTCAACACACTATACCACTAATTCCAGGAATGAAACCTGTAAAACCAAAGTTACGTCGAATGAAACCCGACGTAGCTCTTAAAATAAAAGAAGAAGTTTAAAAACAAATAACTGCATGTTTCATCAAGGTATCAAAATACCCTGAATGGGTCTCCAACGTCATCCCAGTTCCGAAAAAAGATGGAAGTGAAGAATGTGTGTTGACTATCGAGATCTAAATAAGGCAAGTCCAAAGGACGGCTTCCCTTTACCACACATCGATATTCTGGTGGATAACACAGCAAATCACGCACTTCTCTCGTTCATGGATGGATACGCAAGTTACAATCAGATTCTCATGGCAGAAGAAGACATGGAGAAAACAACCTTCATAACACCATGGGGCACTTACTGCTATACGGTAATGCCATTCGGGTTGAAAAATGCGGGTGCCACTTACCAACATGTTGCGACTGCCTTACTCCATGACATGATGCACAAAGAAGTCGAAGCATATGTGGACGACATGATTGTAAAATCAAAAGACCTTCCAGGCCATCAAGTAGCCTTAAGAAATTTTTTTGAAAGGCTAAGAAAATACAATATGAGGTTGAACCCATCTAAGTGTGCTTTTGGAGTCACCTCAGGTAAGCTTTTGGGTTATGTCGTAAGCTCTAGAGGAATAGAGATAGACCCAACCAAAAACAAAGCAATCATATCAATGCCACCGCCCAAAACCGAGAAGCAAATTCGAGGATTTATTGGCCGGTTGCAATACATAAGTAGGTTCATATCAAAATTGACAAAGATATGTGAACCAATCTTCAAAAAGCTTAAGAAGAATGTACCAGTAATATGGGATGACGAGTGTCAAAAAGCCTTTGAAAAGATCAAAGCCTATCTCGCAAGTCCTCCCGTATTAGCACCAGCACTTCCCGAAATACCTCTTAGGTTGTACTTAACAGTTACCAAAGAGACAATGGGAACTATGCTAGCACAAGAAGTAGAAGGCAAAGAAAACACAATCTACTACCTAAGCAAGAAAATGCTCGAATATGAAGCACGTTATACACCACTTGAGAAATTGTGCCTCGCCTTGGTGTGGGCCACAACTAAGCTAAGACATTACATGCTAGTGCATACAGTCTTTGTAGTTTCCCATTTAGATCCACTCAAGTATCTATTCGAGAAATCTACACTCAATGGACGCATATCAAGATGGATAGTCAATTTAGCCCAGTTCGATGTAAGGTTTATGCCGCAAAAAGCTATCAAAGGATATGTGGTGTCAGACTTTCTAGCGGATTTCCCAATAGAAGACTCGACGCCAATACAAGACAATGAGTTTCCAGATGAAGACTTAATGGTCACTGAAGATGATACTTGGACCTTATAATTCGACGGAGCCTCAAACCAAAAGGGATGTGGTGTAGGAGTACTACTAGTATCACCTAAAGAAGAGCATGTTCCAATCTCCATAAAGCTTGATTTCGACGTTACCAACAACGCTGCTGAATACGAAGCATGCATGGTAGGCCTTGAAACAGCTTTGGCATTGGGAGTAAAAAAGTTACGGATATTCGGGGACTCCTCGTTGATCATCAATTAAATCTCCAAAAGGTGGAAAGTAAGGAGCGAAAGTTTGGCCCCTTACCAAACCTATCTGGAATCCCTTACTAATCAGTTAGAGAAGGTAGAATACACATATCTACCTAGAGAAGAAAATCAATTTGTTGATGCCTTGGCAAGACTAGCCTCAATGGTTAGGCTACCCACGGAAATCGAGCAAATGCCTCTAACTATAGAAAAAAGGCACAAACCAGCATACATTTAGGCTATGGAAGACGATGAAGTAGTCTAAGACGAAGAAGAAGAAGAACCGTGGTACACGGATATACTCAATTATGTCACCAAAGGAGAATACCCTCCCCATGCTGACAAAAGAGCAAAACGAGCATTAAGACTCTTGGCTTCCCAATATGTACTCATAGACAACGAGTTACATAAAAGGGTACCTAAGGGCCGAGCTCTCTTATGTGTAGGAAAAAAGGATGCACAAAAAGAAATGAGAATAGTTCACGAAGGAATATGTGGGACTCACATAAATGGAAAAATGTTAGTCCAAAAGATAATGCGAGAAGGATATTATTGGACTACAATGAACAGGGTTTGTCATCAGTACGTAAAAAGATGCCCTAAATGCCAAATTTATCCCAATTTACAACATGTTCCTCCATCCTTGCTCTACACCTACACGTCGCCATGGCCATTCTCTACATGGGAAATTGATATCATCGGCAAAATCACTCCCCCAGGGACAGGAGGCCACGAATATATCCTAGTGGAAATTGATTACTTCACAAAGTGGGTTGAAGCACAATCATACGCTAAACTCACTGAAAAACATGTAGCACTCTTTATCGAGAGAAATATTATTTGTCGATACGGAGTCCCACATGAGATGATAAGTGACAATGGAACTCACTTTCAAGCCGAATGTGAAGAATTGCTACAAAAATTTGGCATTCAACATCATCATTCTTCCCCTTATAGGCCTCAAGCAAATGGAGCGGTTGAGGCAGCCAATAAAAATCTAAAGACTATCATCGAGAAAACGACGGAAAATTATAAGGACTGGCCTGACAAACTTCACTTTGCATTGTGGGGTTATTGCACGTCAATTCGCACATCAACAGGAAATACCCCATTTTCCTTGGTTTATGGAATGGGTGTCGTACAACCTGTCAAACTAGAAATTCCATCTCTACGCATCGCGTTAGAGAGCAAACTCGATGAAGTTGAATGGACCAGGGCAAGATATGAAGAGCTAATTCTACTCTATGAAAAAACGACTAGAAGCTCTACATCACACTCAGTGTTACCAAACTCGTATGGCTAGGCATATTAATAAGAAGGTCAAGACAAGAAACATCAAAGTAGGAGACTTGGTGTTAAAAGCATTAAGGAAGAATGTTTTAGATCCAAGGGGAAAATTTAGACCTAATTGGTTTAGACCCTACATTGTCAAAACAATCCTGTCAGGAGGTACAACAAAATTAACTGATATGGATGGCAATGAGTTCTCGAACATGACAAATCTTGACCAACTTAAGAAATACTACCCATAATTACTTGAGTTGGATACTCAAGAGAGCTACGTTTGGCCCGATTCCTTAAGAAAAGATACGTAGGCAACCCTTTACGGGTGCGGCCACTTTATTTTTTTTAAAAAAATCCGCATCCCAGAATTAATAAAAAAATTCGACAGAAGATCGACGGAACATCGGCGTCACAGAAAAAGTTCTGGCGCCAACCGATGAACGTCAGCGCCAGACGACGGCAACCATCGCCTGATGCCAGACTGCCGCAGCCGGTGCCAGTCGCAGATCTGTGGCGCCAATTTACAGTTACAAGTTTGGGAATATTTCGGTGATTTTCGGAAAATTTTCGACTTCTGTACTCGAAAAATTTCTGGAAAATTAATTTTTTTCGGTTTTCATTGCTTTAATAAAAATTTCAAGTAAATTAAAAAGCTGGAATTTCATTAATAAAATAAATTACATTATTGATGGAATTTAAATAAAGCTTAAATTAATTAACTATAAAAAATAAACTAAGTCTAATAATTGGAAATTAAGCAATGCTCTTAATCTTCTTTCTCTTTCTTAGCCCTTTTCCAATTTTTGTCTGCTTCTTCCTCCTCATCCATAACCTTAGCTAGTAGGCATCCTTTAGAGGACCTACATTCAATCTTAAAGTAAATAGTTTCCCCCTCAGCTAGGACTCCATGCTTCTTTTCTACCCAGGCTTTCTTTTCTGTGGTGTCAACTTTCCTTTTTCCCTTATCTTTTGCAGTGCTCTTCTTCCTAGGCATTATAGGTGTCTTGAATTCGATCCTTTCACCCAGGCGTTCCTTAGCAGGAATCACCTTGTCACCTAGACGACTCTCCACATCAGTTTTACTATGATTTTTCTTCACTTCCTTTGAAGGTTTCTTCATAAGCCACTTTTTTACATCGTTGGGCAAGAAAGGAGGAACCTTTTGGGTAAGCATCAAATTTGTCTACTTCCTGGGAGACAGGGAACACGTAGGGACGACGAAGATCACCGGAAGGAATAGTCTGAAGTAAGCCGTATTGTCTTTTTACCCTGCAGGGATAATAAAAAGTCATACGGGACAAGCTTGGAAGACGGCAGAAAGGTTGCTTGTTGACACCAACCATCCTTTCTATTTTCCACTAAGGGATGACCCACTTGATGGCAAAATTGCAAGACTCGAAGACCCTCTTCCATTCATGGCGCCCCATCTTAGAGAAGCGTTTCTTCCTCCTCACGAAGCAATTTGGGGTATACTTCTCAATGTTGTCCGGAGGGCTAATTAATTCCAGTCTTTCCATTAGCCACATCTGTAAAAAAAAAATTTGCAATGCAAATAAATTATTATTACTATACAAAAATATATTTTTGATTTCTGTAATTAAAAATATTATTTTTCTACCTGTAATAAAATTGGAGAGCCCCGAAAAGGTGCTTTTGGATCCCTCTTTAATTCATCAAGACTAAGCATAGTCTCTCTAACTATTAATGGCATTGGATTTCTCCCTGATTCAATTTGTTCTAAAATAGTGGATATAATTGACTGATCCTCATTATTTTTACCACTAGTAAGAAAAAATTGATTAAGCATGCAAAACAGGAAAGCGCTTCTTCTATAAACATGGAAAGATTCAGAATAAGGTCTATCAAAATAATGGCGAGCAAATTCTTTCAAATTAACTATGTTACCATCTACTATTTTTGATAGACCCCTGTCTTTTAAATTGAAGAAGCGTTCAAAATCCTTATAATAATATGCATCTATTCTAGGGATTACTATAAGATCTATTGCAGGGAAACCTAAAATAGCACCAAATTCTTCCGGCAAAGGGCTAATTTCATCATACCCTATTCTAAAGCAATGAGTATCTACATCCCAATATTCTAGAGCGGTATGAATAAAATTTGAATCAAGATCTACCCCTTTGATACCATAAATACCCCCCAAGTGAAAAACATCTAATTCTTTTCTCTCTTTGGCATTAAGTGACCGACACCATTCATGGGTGTAGTTGGTGAAACTTTTGGAGGCTAGAGACATGATATTATTTTTTTTTTTTTCTAAAAGCTAAGAAATATTATATCTGCTGAAATTATGAAGAGAATCGGCTGGGCAGGGGGCTATTTATGCACAAAATCGGAGCCGTTTTAATATACGAAGGATTCGGGGTCAGCGCTGATTAGCGCCAGACGCCAATATTGGCGCCTGACGCCAGAGCCTGGCGCCAAACGCTAAGTGTAGCGCCTAGCTCTACACCAAAACGCGTGGCGCCAGCTGGCACCAATATGCCTCATCGTACGCGCTTTCTAAAAACCGCGTTTTTGCCTTGATTCGAGTCTGCTAATGACTTTACGGTTTCTTTATCTTTTTCTAAAATATTCATTTATTCCTCTCTTTTAATTAATATATTTATTATATTTATTATATTATGTTTTTTTTTTCTGATTTTATTTAAACTAATTTCCAAGTTTTTATAAATCCAATATTTTTATTTGACTTTTCCTTTTTCATTTTTTCTTTTTGGGGGAGAAAGTCGGATACCCTCCATCAATAATTAAAATGACGGAATTCTCCATCAATAATTAAAATGACGGAATTTTTGCCCAAAATTATTTTTTCACATTTCTTTGCACACACAAACATGCACATAATAAAAAATGAAAAAACAACGATAAATAAGGAATAAACTCATAATAGTATGTATATACAAAACATGTCTAAGTAATGAGTCTAACTAAAAGGCAAAGTTCTATACAAAGTCAAATAAATAAATAAAAGCACAGGAATAAACTACGGCGCCGGGGGACGTAAACCCATCATCTCATAAAACTCCGCCGTACGAGGAGTAACCGCTCCTCCAGCTCCACCAGCTCCAGTCTCCTCGGGAGGAGGAAAGCTCAACTCAGGACCCGTCCACCCAAGATCAACCTGAGGCTGAGGCTGCGGAGGCTGCTGCGATGACGAGCCGACCTCGTATATCCTACCACCTCTAAGAGCCGAGGTAGCCTCTCCCTAGCCTACCGGCGCAACATGTGCACCCTCAGAGGAAGAGCGTGAGCCCTATATCGCCTCAGTACGAGCAGCCTCAGAACGACCGCCCCGACCTCCCAAAGTAGTGCGGCGACGTCTCGAGCTAGACCTCGCCGGATCCCTCCGCACCTCAGGTCTCGTGCGAGTACGAGAAGGAATGGGATGACCCTTCAAAGCAAATTGAATTAGAAACAGGCAAAATAAAGGCGATAATGCAAAACATATGAAGGAAAGACTACCTCCTGAACAGCGTCGTCTTGACGGCAGGTAGCCACGTTCCTCATCCGGACAAGCTGGCTCCGGAAGGCATCTATGCATCGTGCCATCGCCGAAACCACCTCGCGTGAGAACTGTTAGAGAAATAAAGTCAGTAAACATACATAACATATATGTACAAAAAGTTGCAAATAAACAAGTTTACCCGAGTCTGGGGATGAGGAATCGACCGCTCCACAAAGCGCTCGTCCTCAGGAGCCGGAGGAATCATCTCCTCAATCGGCCCATATGTCCTCTGATAATGGATAGACATACGGGGTGGCACGAACTAAACAGCATCGTCTTGACAAGGCAAAACAAAATTAGTAAAGCATTAATTGGGGGCTACTTAACTCAAGGTAAAAGCTGAAAAATCGTACCACCACATCCTCAGCAGGTATAGGTTCGGGAGCTAACAACGACAGTAGCTCCTCCCTATACACTAGTGAAAAAAGGCCATCCGTAACGGGCAAAAAGGCCCCATCCGTAACGGGCAGCGTCCGTTACGTATGCGGCCGTTACGGATAGCCATTATTATTCGTAACGGGCACCGTCCGTTACGAATAACTACTTATTTGTAACGGGCACTTACAATGTCCGTTACGAATAACTACTTATTCGTAACGGGCGTTTCAGGTGCCCGTTACGAATAATCCATTATTCGTAACGGGCATTTGAAACATCCGTTACGAATAAGTATTTATTCGTAACGGGCACTTACAATGTCCGTTACGAATAAGTAGTATTCGTAACGGGCATTTACAATGTCCGTTACGAATAATCTCCGAATAAGACAAAAAATTAGATGCATTTGTAACTAGCATTTCAGGTGCTAGTTACAAATACCCCTATTCTTTTTTCCATTTAACACCCAAATTATTACATTCTAAAAGACTTATTATTCCTTGACAAGCAACAATACTAATAACACCTGCATATTTGCAGTAAAATATCATGTAAATGCTAGACAAATCCTGTATTACACACTGTTACTACTTGATTTTTATACTCTTCTATATACATGTACTTATGACTTCTTGTTAAAATTCTCAGCAAATTTCATCTAACATCATTAGAATAGTATGGATTTGGTTAGAGAAATCATGAAATTTAGCTACAAAATTGAAGTGTTATCACCCAATTGAAGGCTCCAAAAAGTGATAATGATCACCAAAGAAAGCCTCAATATCACGTCAAAATGTTGTGCTACTTTCACTGGCAGACATCGAGCTACCTTCAGATTTCACAGCGGGTGTTCCTCAGCTGCCAATGTCAAGCCCTTGTAATCTTCCCAAGGGATCATTCGGCATAAATTCTGAAGGGTTGGTTTTGGCCTAGGAATTGGATGAATGCATATGGTACAAGTTATTATTATTTCCCTAAGTTAAATGATTCTGAAGGACCCATCATTTTTCCTGTGGCCATTCTAAGCCTCTCCACTTCCTGCTTTAATGCTTCATTGAGTGCTGAAAAAATAAACAAACAAGTGCAGATTTTAAAGATCTATACCCCAACAAAATTCAAAAAGAAGAGACCTGTCAAGCCAAGTTCAATATATTTAGTGATATTTTTTTACTTGAAACAAGGAAATCAAGATATTTTGATAGTTGAAAACTTAAATTTGTATATTGGCAGCTAAATTCCAAACTAAATCAACTGTTCAAACCTAAATTTTGATCCCATCCATGTTTAATGTTGTACAGAGCATGAGACTCACCATCTCGCAACTGAGCTTGTTGTTCCATAGCTTGTAACCGAAGCTTAAGTTTTGTGTTTTCATATGTCAAGCCAGTTGTGTCCCTCTAAACAATAAATTCTTAAAAGAAACGTAAGCACAACAAGTTCACACAAGAGAATCCTTGAAGTACTTTTAATTTCCAGATCCTAAAACCTTGTACTCCGTAATCTAAATGAAAGAACAAGTGGATCTAAATTTAAGAGCAGATCTTTTACATTACTGATGGTGTGATATCAGCAAAATACCCGATACAAGGTGAGTTGTGCAGAAAGGGTGGTTGCTTCAGTTTAAAGAGTCTGTACTTTCCACTCCAAGTCCAACATGTATCGAGCTTTCCTCTCTTTAGAACGTGCATCAGACTACCGATTTGCCAAGTAAACCACTGTGAGGAACAAGTACACTAAATAAGGAAAGCAACATAATAACCACCAATTAAGGGCCCTAATTTTCCAAAAGTTACTTGATTATAAAGCAAACATACTCTATAGTGTGCATATTGCAATGATTGGATATATGAAACACCAACAACAAAAAATAGCCACAATAATTGGTTAAATTCCCATGAAACACTTAAGTCTCATCTCATTACTTTGCAGTACAATGTAACAGTGTTCACTCCAAAATTAAACCATAATAATGTCACTAAAAAGCCAATCTACCAATCGGAAAAGTAAACAACATACGAAGAATGCCACGAACATACGAATGGATAAATATGTAGATTTTCAGTAAAGGCATAGATAAAAGCCAATCCAGAATTAAAAGTATCAAACTCTTATGACTATATTATAATTTTCACCATATCAAAGTATCAAACTTTTGCAGCTCATCTAATGAACAGGATTAACTTAACATATTATGTGTACCAATTAGACGTGATCCAACAATAATATAATAATATATTTCAAAGACTCGAAGGAATTTTGATTCCCTCAGGTACCTAGGACAGAAAATGCTCATATATTGAAAATAGAATGTTCTAAGAAGTTTATAAATGGGTGACTTGGGTAATTTTGTCCCCCGTATCTCATTGATTTTAACCAAATACTAGTCTGCTCAACATTAATTATCTTCCAGAGGGTATGCAATGTTCATTAATCTACTTTCATTGGAAAACATCGGCAACAATTGAAAGAGCATATATCCCAAATGAATCACAAGTCTAGTGTCTATATATACCATGTTGAAACTTTTGGCACACCAAGCAAGTCTAGTATTTAGTGGAAACATACTAATTTCAACTTGCTTTGATCCAGTAAAGATAAAACCTTCAACTCCACACACATTAAATGTCCTAATGCTTTAGTTTTTAACAGCGTACACCCCTTTACGCCCCCCCTATTGGCTCCACACTCGTTATTAAGTCACACCCGAGCACACTTGTGGCCACACAAGCACTACAACACAGCCCTATGGAAGCAGCATCTACACTACTCACACAACACAAAAATACACCAATCTTTACTCGCCAAGTCTCTCCTGCATATACAAAACACAGCCACTACCACTCAAGCACACAACAATCTCTGTACAATCCAGATAAACTCGCTAGCATCATTTGCTGAAGCAAAAAATAGCCTGCAATGATATGTCTAGTAGCTTGCTCCAATACACACTAATTAGCACAACTTTACACACAAAAATTTGGAATACTATTTTAAATTGGCTTATTCTTCTATTAACAAAATCAATCATTTTTAGCGTAACTTCAAACGATAATTGCAACAACAAAATGAAGTCCAAACTTTATCTTATATCTTTATGCTAGTGATATCCTTAGAAATCATTCGAAAAAGCTTCTTCAATTAATGGAATTACTAGCAACAAAAATAAACTTTAGAAATTACTACAAGTCAAGCACGAGTTCAAGCAGAATTAGATCAGTAACTAAATCAAGCTAAAATGTAAAGCTGTAACATTCACTAGATCAAGCAGAATTATTTTTCTCGTGTTTACCTTCAATACTTGAACAAATAATTCATAATTTTATTGAGATAATCCAAAACAACAAAATTTGAAGAACATTCACATGGGCAAAAATGCAAAAGAGTAGAAATAACACAAAATTTGTTGAGAATCAGTTGAATATATAAATAAAGCAACAAAATTCTTGGCAAAATCATAAGAAACAACGATTTTACCAATAGCAAAGAAAGATATATGGTTATACCTAGCCTATAACCTTAATTGAAGCGAGTAGATTGCTCAGCATGCTTCTTGTCCTCCATAGAAGCGTTTGTTTCCGCCATTGATGTTCGCTGAAGCTCTAGTAGCTCTCGCGAGCAAAAATTTTCCCAACCATTAGATTTCACAATTGCTTTCTCTCTGCTAGGGTTTGTTAGTTGTTAGTGTTAGAGTATTGAATTGTGATTCGAAATAGGGTTAGAGTTAAGAATTTGGATATGGCGAACGGAATGAGAAGTCGGCGATTTGGGGTGAAGAGAGGAGGAGAAGGCAAAGGGGGAGGAAGAGAGGAGGAAAGAGAGTGAAAGGGAAAATATGTGGGATTTTAGTGTTTGACGACTAGGACTAGGAGTGTGAAACCCTAATAATTTGTAATGGGTTTCTCTTTTCATGGGATCCTCTTTTCAACTGGGCCAAATATTCGTAACGGGCACATAGTGTCCGTTACGAATAAATATTTATTCGTAACGAGCACATGATGTCCGTTATAAATAAATATTTAATCGTAACGGACACATGGTTCCGTTACGAATAAATATTTATTCGTAACGGACAATATTTTGCTCGTTACAAATAATATAGTATTCGTAACGGACACCATGTGTCCGGTGTCCGTTACGAATAAATATTTATTTGTAACGGACAATATTTTGCCCGTTACGAATGTATTTAATGTAATAGGCATAGCTTTGCCCGTTACAAATAACCCGTTACAAATGAAACTTTTTCCACTAGTGATAGCACCGCCCAGGGATCGTGTAAGATCGCCAAGGGGTACCAGCTCCCTCTGACATGCTCACCAACCTCGTGGCATTAAACATGTGACGTGGTGGAGGAACAAGAACGACAAAGGTGTCGGAGGAATGCTGAATAGCAACCCTCTCTCCAAGATATGCAGCCGCTCCATATGTCCCCAAGAAATAGCGACGCTCTGCAGAATACTGTGCGGCTAGCCCAGGGACTGCCAGGTCGACCCACGGTCGGTACATCACCTCATGCTCCTGCAAAGAACGTTAATCAGGCAAGAGTCTATCTAAAGGCATCGCGAAACGTCAAATAATAAAAGAATCATACCAAGATGATCCAATCTAGGATATAAGCAGTGGACATCCCCACACGTTGACTGCCCCAAGAAGCGCTAACTGGAAGCCTGCGCGGTGACGGTCTCGCCGGCGCTGCTGAGGGGAAGTACTCGTAGAACCAGATCTACAAGAAGCTAAAGTTATCAACAAGTGCTAACTAAAATGTAGAGCTAAACTTTATAGGGAATAAAGGATACCTCTACGACCCTCCAAAAGCCGGACAAAGCAACATTCGACCCAAAGGATCGATGTCGACACGAGTCCCGCAGCGCTAGAATGAAATCAGCATAGGCCAAGCTGGCCCAGTCATAAGTCCCGATCCGGTGTAGATCGCGGACGGTAGGAAGGTAGTAAAGCAGCGCCCTACTACCCTTGTCAGGGGAGAACGTCCATGACAGCAAGATGAGTGCAAAGATGCATACCCGCTGCTCTCGGGTAGTCGCACCATCGTCAAAAGTCGCTGCTAGAGTCGAGCGGCGAATCCCCCTAGCGCTGAACTAAGTCGACTCTACCTCAGCTCGAGCCCGAATAGTAATCGGATCCAACAGCTCCTCGAACTCAGGGGAAAAGACGTCGATCCCACTATCGAACGGCAGTGGCACGGAGCTAAACTCTAGTCCTGGGATGAGACTGAAGACGGTTGGAGTGACCATCATCTCACCCTAGGGAATGTGGAAAGTGTTAGTGGTGTCCCAAAAGAACTCCACCAGAGCACGAACTACATGATGACCCCCGCTAGAGGCAACCATCGCCTCGGAGGTCTCGAACAGCGCAGTAAGACCGCAAGACTACCATAGAAGTCTCGTCTGATCATCTCTGGCGATGTACATCTTGTACAGATCACCCAAGTCGTCACAGCCAGAACCATGACAGCGCGTCCTCCCAAAAGTGATGGCCCGTCTCACCCTCTCAGAGATGTGGTGGACGGAAGAAAAGTACAAGGTCCGCTCATCCCACTCGGGGAGTCGACCAAGCGAAGTGGACGGCTCGGCATCGTCCTCTACGGGCTCGTGCTCCCGTCGAACGTCTCGGGACCGTGAACCCGAACCTCGCTGTATAGCCATGCTACATTGTGCATAATCATCATTAATTAAGGTTATATAGTATCTAAGGTTCTCCTAGCCGCATGATACTATGTTTGCAAAAAAAAAAAAAAAACAGAGTACGTAGTACTAAAACAGAGCACAAATTCAAATTGAGCATGCATGGCATTTTTCAAGCAACCAAACAATTTCTTGCAATACTATAGTAATTATTGTGACAAATTGGACAAGAATTTCTAGCAAAAACATCAAGAACAAGCCACATTGTTTTCCCGACCTTAAGAGGTCCAACAATGGCAATTTATTCATTTCTTCACCAAATTGAGTCAAACAAGTCTCAAATTACTCCCAAGGTGTTAACTCGAATGAACAATACAAGAGGGGGGGGGGGTGAATTGTATTGTGGAGGAACTAGGGTAATTTTTGCGAAATTCTTAAATAAACTTAGACAAAAACTTTAAAGTGCAAGAGAGATTTTACGTGGAAAACTTCTTGGCCCTAATCAAGAAGAAAAACCACGACCACAAGGGATTTTAAACTCAACTCTTAATAATAATAGGGAAACGACCTATTACAAATTAAGACTCTAAACTCAAGTTCCTCAACGAACTTAAGTTCCCCCTCAACTGATCCCTCAATCAGTTGAGCACTCTAATCTCTCTCTTTCTCCTTGCTTCACTCAAAGCAACTCAAACACTCTAGAGTTTACCCAAACTCTACCCCAATACAACTCAAGATTAACACTACTAAGATGTTAAGTACAAAGACACTCAAGGATTTAAGTGGATTTTGACTCTTTTAGAAAATCTAAGTATGGTAATGCTCAAGTGTACTTTTCAAAACAGAAAACTAATCCTATTTATACAAGAGGAAAGCGGTTGAAACTTTTACGTTTGCTTCCAACTCCCACTATACCACAACTTCCATTAATTTAGGAAGTGCAGTTCGTGGAGGCTTGAGAAGCAAGCTAAATCACACAATAAGGAAGTGGTTCCTTTATTTTCTCAACCTCCTTGACTCAGTAAAAAGACGTTTACAAAACTAGTTTTACCAAGTCAGATTTTCCAAAATATTAGGATAAAATCAAAACAGAAAATCTTTAAAATAAATAAGATATTTTTTCTTTAAAAGATAATTTTCCAACAATAAAACAGAATCTTTTTAAACAAAGGAAAATAAAATCTTTATAAACTGAAATTAAATCCACTTAAAATCCTATCAATTAATAATGTACTTAGCAAATATACAAGAAGACTAAAATAAACAATAAAGATACAATAGACTTCTTGGAACTTAGTGAAGCTTCAACTCTGGAGCTTCAGTTCCTCACTCAAGGAACTTGGTTTCTGATTGTCTTCTATGCTCGTCCATAGCTCAATATTTAGACTTGTTCCATGCTCCATTATGACTCTAGAACTTCGTTGCCAATAAGAACCTGTCAAATACATCAAAGCTAATAGACAAAGGTTAAAGCCCTTATGGGTTTGCTTAGGTTCCTTGAGTCATCATTAAAACTTAAGATCAACAATATTCCCCCTTTTTGATGAATGACAAACCTAAGCAAACTCACAAAATAAAAAGTAAAAGACAACCAGAAAAAAAGAAAAACTTAAAATGAAAAATGAACTAGTTAAAATTAAACAAAGAACTGAATGAAATGAATAGTATGAATAGTTATATACCTTCTATTTTAAACGCATGGAGAGCTTGTTAACGATTGAGTTTGCCTTCTATTTCCCCCTTTTGGCGTTCATCAAAATTAATGCATACAAAGACATATATCTAAACACAGCACCATTTTAATGGTTTGTGTCCAAAGCAAAGAATAAAGCACATATAGGCAGAAATAGTATGCAAATAGTCATAAAAGCAAGCAGGCAACATCCATGTAAACAAACTAATATTCCTCCAGAACATCGAAACAAAAGAAAATACCCTGTTTTAAGTGTTTACAGACCAAAAAGAAGCAAAAAGAAACAAGTTCAAATCAGATCAAGTTCCAGAAAATAAAGATTAAAAACATCAAGCTTTAGGGGCAGAGGACTGGGTCTCTTCTTCAGCATCCTTCTCTGGCACCTCTTTAATGACCAAGTCCTCCAATTTCTTCAGCAAGTCAGCCTGCCCTTTGGAGAGAGTGGATGTGTTCTGATGCATTGCTGAGGTGAGCTCTGTGGAAGCTTTCACCAAGTCTGACACTACTTTCTCAAGAGCTTCAATCCTTAGAATCAACCCTGGTTGAGCATCAACTAGTTTGTGCATCATCTCCTTAAGAGCCTTAAGTTCCAAGGTGGAACTCACATTGCTGAACCCAGCAAAACCTGAACCTGTAGGAAAAGTTTTTTCAACAGAAGCTTGAAGGATGCCCTGTTCCCCCTGAGAACCAGTTTTCTCTTCAAGAACACCTTGATCCCCTGGAGCACTGTTTCTCTCTTCACTCAGATCAACCACCGCAACAGACTCAGCCTTGTACTTCCCTCTTGGCCTTATAGCCAACCTAGTACTCTTTCTCTTCCCAGAACTTTCAGTATCCTTCTAGTTAGACATCACAATCACCTCTTTCTTTTTCTGTTCACCTTCTTTCTCACTGTCCTCTTCCTCCAACCATTTATCCAACTCTTCATCTTCCTTTTTCTTCAAACTACTCTCATCCTGTTTAGGTTTAGAAAGGGATTTTGAGAGAAATTGAGTAGTTCCCTCAACAACAGTTAGGTTTCGGGCTTCAAGTGTTTTGGGTTGAACATAATGGTTGGACTTAAGCTTAAGGGATTCATAGTTAGTCATGGAAATTCCACAACTTTCAAGAAGAGTGATTATTAGGTTTGCATATCCAACCTTTAAGTGATTGGGAAGACAATGGGTGAGATGCTGGATCATCAAAGAAGGAAAATTTATCTGAATTTTGTTTTCAAGACAATACATAAGCACAACATCAAGATGATTTGCCTCGTGCCTATGCTGGGTTCTAGGAATGATAGCTAGATGAACAAAAATAAACAGCAGCTTTTGAATAGGAGAGAACATGTTATGGTTGGTTCGAACTTTGGATGCTTTACCCCCTATTGATTCAACAATCTTTTCAATGGGAACACCCTCAACACTTAATTCAGTTTCTCCCTTAAAATATTCATCAAATCCCTCATTATGGGTTCCAAACACAGCAGCTAAATCATCAGCATCAAAACTAATTTTCTTGTTTTTGACTTTACTAACACAAACACCATTTATATTCTTAA